AAGTTTTCGTGAAGGGTTCACGCGTTGTCACAAGTGGAATATATTTTTCACGCGTGCCCACAACCATTTTACGACGTTCACGTGTGACTGCAGTTCATTTCACGATATTCACGCGTGTACACACCGCGGTACCTACTAAAATTTCCCCATGGGTGATCTTAAGCACCACTCGTGGTACTGATTTTAAGTACCATTATCCTGGCTTCTTCCTTAAGTCTATAACGTTTTTTTTTGTTTTTATCGTGTTGTTTATTGAACATCAAAATTAACAAGAAAAAGAAGAAACAGTAATTAAGAACAATGTCCGAAAACAAAAAATAGAATAATACGTGTCAGAAAAATATCTGATACATGTGTGTCTTATATTTTTCTTGAACAAAAACGGGGAAGTAAAAGCTTACAAAATTTTGCAGTAAATAACTACGAGTGCGGAGAGAAAAGTGACGTCCAAAAATCTGACATCTAGACGAGCGCCTGCATCGACTAATGCGGATGATGTTGGCTGATGGTGTGAGGCCAAAAAGACATCATCATATTTACTGTCTTCGTCTGGAATTGGCGAGACAGTTTGGTGTTTCTCGTCCAGTTGTTTTTGCAGCTCTTCAATCTTCGCTTGCGCTGCCATTACGATCCGATTTCGGCGTTCATGTCGTTTCCGGTTTGCCAACGCGCGACGTTGTTCTGGTGTCAGATCACCAGCAGGTCTTTCTCTTTCATTTTGACGACACTGTATCGGGGTTGGACTCGCTTCTATGGGCGTGACTGCTTTTGGCAAGCTCGTCAGACGTGCATGTTTAGAAGATGATGATGATACCGAAGAGAAAAATACAGGTGGATGGAAGGTAGTAGTGGTTGATGAGCTCTGCTCCTTCCCTCATTTTGACGACGAGGATGACGGTGCCTCTACTCTGAAATGACTGTCGGTTGTCGATTGCGAAAGACTCACCAACTCGTCATTTTGGATACGCTGTTTAGGCGCATTGAAAGAAAAAAGGAGTTGCTGCCTGTTATAATCAGTGGTAATTTTATATCCGCCTGACCGATTGTACGGAGCCGGTCTGAGTTTTTGATAGTTCTGACTCGAGTTTGTAAAGACTCTGTCATTAGATCTATACTCAGAATCACGACTGTATGCCCGGTTGTGCCGAACTGACTCGGTTCTATCCCGATGGGACCCATCAGTCATCTGTCCAGATAAAGGATTCATTCGCTCCTCTTCAAGCTGCAAAACTGTCACAAGGTTCAGGTGCCGATCCAACCCTGAACTTACACGTTCAACGTCAGCTGGAAACTTCCGTCTGTATAAAGACACAAGTGGTATTTTTGGTATCTGGGTGCCGAACTCGCCGGCTTTTTACTCAGATGGTACCCCACCCATCGGGATAGAACCGAGTCAGTTCGACACAACCGGACAACGACATGGAGTGTTTGCCTAAACTAGTCATTGGCATAAAGCCATCGGCATAAGTGTGTGTGTGTATATGTATGAACATCACAAGTGTACCCTAAAAGGATACAACAATCTTTTGTGGTGTAGTATTGTGGTGTAGGAAGAGAGTAATCCTTCCCAATTGGTGAATACACCTTACCACAACATTCTTTAATTATAATAATCAAAATAGGTTAATAAATGGCATTAAGCCCTACGGGAAGGTTCCCATAAGCTATGAGAGTCTCGTTACCACATTTTTCACAATCTAGGCCATTTTCGGTCCTAGAATTCATGCACCACAGATTCTAGACAGGAGTCCATTTTTGATCACGCATTGCGTGATATACGTACGACCAGTACGACTCGTTCAAGTATTACGTAGTCGTAACATAACGATGTTCCCTATATATATACTGCATCGTTATATAATATCATTCCTATTTCCTAAACGCGTACAAAAACATGTGTACAAAATAGCCGGCCGTTACACAGAAAAATCATTGATTCTCGGCTATTGAATGATCAACTAAACGATAGCCGTCTATTATATAGAAAAATCACTGATTCTCAGCTATTGTTTGTACACGTTTAGGTCTTACACTTTATTGTAGAGTTACTCGCTACTTGAGCAGCCACGAGCGCTTTCGACCTTGCTCAACGGTCTCATCAGGTGGCAAGTAGGCCATCCATATACACTCGAAATGATATTCTTCGAATCTGGACTAGATTGCAGATGCGTCATACCGTTTAGGTCTCGAGTTTGAGTCGCCGTTCGTCGAGACCTGCTGTTATTAGATGGCCAGGTCAGTCGGTTTGCAGAAACAATATACACTTGAACGATATATTTCTTAAATGACTCGATAGTCTCTTGTCAGCTCAGAGGTGTACAATTGGTTTATCAATCTCCCGAGTGCCTGGTATTCAAGTCTCCGTAGACAGACTCTTCGCTCTTGTCCTAACGGGTCTATCATATTTACTGCTAGACAACTCATAACCTATTGATTTTTCCCGGTGAAAATGTACGTGTATATGTATGAACATCACAAGTGTACCCTAAAAGGATACAACAATCTTTTGTGCTTTTTTACAAAAGCGCTTTTTATACAAAAAACATTCAACCGTATAAATTACAGTTTTAAGTTGGGTTCAAGGGGCCTTAAGTCAACGCACTTGTCTTTGTATCACTCTCTATCTCTCCTAATAACAGTCAGAAACGTGTCTGATAACAGTTTTTGTTTGTTATTTTATCAACATCTCCAATAACTGTTGTAGCTCTTAATTCATCTTTGTCAACTAAATATTCACAGAATACAAAAATGGAAAACATTTTGAATGAATTAATGATTGAACAATTGCATTCAGATATTAATTATGAGAACTCTTATAATCAATGTTTACCATTTAATTGTACTTATACGTATGTGAAACGATGGAGAAATCTAATGCATGCAATTGTAAATGTTATTGAAACAATCGGTGGATTATCAACTGTGTTAATCATTATAACACCATCAATCATTAAACTAATACTAAGAATCAAAGATCCAAAGACCAGAGAATCAGGTAAGTGAAATCTCTTTTCACATCTACACAATGATCGATCAGAGATATTCTCATTTGTTCACATCAAAGTTCGAAAATGGAAAACTTCTTTGTTATTGAATTTTATAATCGTTAGTTTTTACGTAATTATTACTTTGCAGTAATGAGTTTATTTTCAAGACTATAGACAAAAAAATGGATTCATCAATGTATGTAACTTGCCGTTACATAGTCAAATGTTGCTATGTAGGAGTATTAGCATCAGTCAGTTAGCATCCTTAGGTTTTCACTTGAGATGCAACAATTTGACTCTCAGTAACATCAAATACATAACCTTGTTCCAATGGTGTACATTCCATTTGTTTCTTTGGTGTTTCTAGGCTAACTGTAATTTGTATAATTCTTTTCGTTATTTCTTTTTCACCGTACATATATGTTTTTTTATCGATAATTAATTTTCCCTCATTCTCATCGATTGTTTTCACAATAGGATCATCTTGTTCTTTCCCAACACCACCATAGGCTCCACTATAAACGATTGTACATGTGATACGTTGAGAAGTTTTATTAGTGATGCTCGTTTCTACTAAGTCGTTTCTGAACTTCGCACCCATACGCACCGTTTGTCTATTTGGGATGGCATCAATGTCAAAATAAATTTGCATCTAGAGACAAGATGAAGCATGTCACGTTATCAGTAATGTGAGCGAAACCCTTTTGTTTTATTTACGAGAAAAGGAATTCGGATGAGCTTAATAAACTTGTACGTCTTGGAGTTCCAGACAGTCTCTTTTTCAAATCAGTTTCCGACATGACTAAACAAGTCGAAGAGCTTTTCTTCTTCATTTCTCCATAAGTTCCTTCGAGTCCTCGCTACAAAGGCTATTTTACTGTCCTAACGAGTAAAGATGGACGTGTTGGTGAGGTCATCTAACAAGCTTAACTGACCTTTTATTAAGAATTAAACATTCCGATTCGACTTTTAAAATGCAAATGAGACAATGTTTTTTAATTTGACTAACCAACACATGAAAAATACTCTACTGGTCTCTGATGCTAGATCAACTAGATATTTCTTTGTTCAAGTAAAACTTAGTACAAAAGAAAAGATAAGAAACTTTTGTAATTCTCAAGTAGTTATTCAATATTCTTGCTTCGTAGCTGAACAATTTTTCTTTAGAGTTTTCATCCCGGAGGAATGTCTTTGGTTCTTGAGATAGACAAATCTTTAAAATAATATAGCTCCAACATCTGATACTTTCATTTACTATCAACTAAGGTATTTGTTCTATTTTCCTCAAAACTTAGTTACTGTTTGGAAAAAAGCCTAAATTGGACGATACTCACTGTTCTTGAAATCGTGTATAAAAGACTTTTGGACAAATTACACACTTGTTCTCCTAAATTACCTTTATGTCAAGTATGTAAGAGAAAGAAAGATGTTACTTTCAAATGTTTTCTGCTTCAATTAACCAGTTATTTCTCTTTCTTGCTCTCTAATGAAACATACACATTCACTGAAATGCAAAAGTAAAATGTGTAGAACTAGAAAAGAGAGAGAGGAACAAGAAGGTGGATCTAAATCGAATTCTACTAAACACATTCTTGTGAGTTTCGATCATTCAAGTCAATTAGAATGGTGTGTTGATCTAAAATGTGTACTTGACTAAAATCCCGTATGCCACTGTATTTAGCAAACATTCAACCATAAGAAAAAAAGCAAAACAAACTATTCCGGATATGAAGGTGTCATCAATTTTCAATAAAATTACTTACAGTCACGAGAAAAGAAAATGCTTTCTGTTTCGTTTTTCTTTTTTTATTAATTGATAGTTAACAACATGACTATTTACCTTTAAAGTCTCTTCGTTCCAATCACAACGTGCAATCGGATAGACAGTTATCTTAGCTTTCTATCCACCGTCAATTGAAATTCTTTCTCGTTTGCTATCTTAGGAAACATAATAAGTAAAGATAACAAATAAACAGTTTAATGGTACAATGTTGTCTCGTGATCCATTGGCATGTTAGCTTCCTATCCTTCTTGTCCATCGACATTCTGATCATTTTGATCAGAATCGACCATGAGGATCACAGTGATCATTCAGAGTGATTTTGAAACTATCGAATATAAAACTGCTACGAGAAACATAAGGAAACAGCATTTTGAAGAAGTACATGTTTATTTCGGCTAAAGCAATGACTAACATTTTAAAAGATAAACTGGGGGTTCGCGCAAGTTCGAATCTATACTTGAAATTCTCAAATTTTTTTCTTTTTTCAGGATGGCGGTTTTTCTTCATCGTGCTTGAACCACAGTGTGAGGTTCTTAAAAAATACTAGTTTTCTGAAAATGGACATTTCAAGAAAAACAAAATTTTTGTTAACCAAACTTTATTGAAAGTTCGCAAAAATTTTAGAATACAGGCAGTTCGATCTTTTTGATTGATTGGAGCCAGTCTTATCATTGGAACACGCTCCTTTAATGAACAGTGAAGTTTTTAGAAAAACCTCTTAAATTTCTGTAAACTTTTTAAAGTTAAAGAAAAATGAGAAGAACGCGTGTGGGAGGTTCAAACGTCTCACCACAAGCTGGCTCCAATCATACACTTTTTCCTAAGAGAGATATTGTCCTCCAGACGGATAGACAAATAAATATCAAGGACAGAATCCAGTTAGCAGATATTAACAACTTGTTTGAATTATGTAAAACACAATGCACATCCAGAACAACATCCCACAGTGGGCAGTTTTTGACAGGCACGTGGACATTTAAGTCGACATGGGCAACAAAGTGATGTAAAAAACCAGGAGGGGTCTGCTTCCACTTAAAAGACTATGGTCCTCTATTCCGGCTTGCAACTTACAAACCTTACGTTAGCCTTCTAATAGGGGACAGTCTTTTATTAAGGGATGGTCGTCTATTACGGGTGAGGGTCCAAATAAATGATAAATAAACGGAGAGAAAATGGAAAAAACTACGTTGGACATCAAATACGAGTTCGATAAGTGAAAATACATATTGGACAATGTTTAGAGCATAAAATAGCTTGAAAAATAAGCTTTCTTTGTTTGTCAGAAATAATGTTTTTCTGTTTTATGAATGTAGTTTTACGAATAAATGAAAAAGTAAAAGAAGAAAAAACGAAAAAATAAAACTGGAGCATTAACTTTGTATTCAGCATATAGAAATACATATTGGATGACTTTTGTAGCAAAAACCATCCTGAAAAAAGAAAAACACTTGAGAATTTCAACTATAGATTCGAACTTGCGCGAACCCCCAGTTTATCTTTTAAAATGTTAGTCATTGCTTTAGCCGAAATAAACATGTACTTCTTCAAAATGCTGTTTCCTTTGCTCCTGTCAATCATGCACAGGAGTTTTTCTGCATTCCTTGATTTAAGCTCTCTTATAGTATTAGCTCTCCGCAAGTGAACAAGGAAAGTGCATGCTTGTTTCGGCGAAGATACTCATCAATTACTAACCAAACATTTGAAGATGAAACGTGTAAAGTTGTGTAACTGAAAGAAACCTTTCTACAAACTGATTTCTCAAACTCATAAGACTCCAGTCACTTCTAAATTTGTTTAGCATTTAATACCCTGTACTGAAGATGGATTTCCAACACTTAATAGTCGACATGCATCACAACACATTTCATCTGCACTTCTCTCATTACAGTACTAATTCTGTCACGATTAAACTTATAGTTACAACATTCTGCTTGATGATGGACAACGCCAAGACGTATGTTTGTCTAACATTTTGGATTCAACTCTACTGTCTTTTTCGCATGAGTAGTTTTCTCTTGTTTTGTTTATTCAGCACACTATAGTAGCTCTTCTCCGTTCATTTACCTTCTGTACTTTCATTTTTTCTCTCTGATTTAACTTTCTCATTTAGTTCGTACTTTTACACTTTCCTCAACATTCTTTCTGTTACGCACGACAATACTAAGAAAAAAGAGTAAACCATTCACTGATCGACGTTCTTGTGGGTATTCTTGTACGATTCTTGTTTCTCGGCATTTTATACAAGAAGCTTGTCAAATATCTTACATTTATTCTTATCACTAGAACCTTGCGGGAAATCGCTTTCTTGTGAGCTAATACAAGAATCGCGAGACGGATTCCGAATTTACAAAAAAGCGCTTTCCTGCAAGATTCTTGCCTCATTTTTTCCTGCAAGAATCTTGTCTTGTAATTCTTAAAAGAATCTTGCAAACAAAAAGAATGCATATATAATCCATTTTAAGTCTTCTGTTCTTTCATATATATAGGAGCTGGATGCTCTGATGCCAAGACTCGATTGTCGCTCGACAAGAAACTTGCAAGAATACCCACAAGAACGTCGACCAATGGTTCTTCTATCTCGCATTTATTCTGTAATATTTTTTTCCGGTTTTAATAGTTAACTTTATTGTTCTACATACGACATTAGAAAAGTTCCCGGACTGATTTTATTTTAGAAAAACGAAAAGCGTTTTAATGTAGGGCTTGTTACCTCTTTATAGTTCATATAGTCCTTAATCTATAGACATAACGCGTTCTGGTTAATTAGACACTTATGTGTTATGATAACAACTTATTTTATATCACATTGTAATGTGCTTCAGACACAATGTAACCATTAAAATGAGACATCTTCCAGCTCTACATAACCTGTCTTTACAAAGTTATAGAATTTACAAGAAAAGCCGTAAATTCATTTCTTCTTATTTCTGTAGCTTTGAGCTGACAATGAACATTTAGGGCTTTTCTTGTAAATTCTATAACTTTGTAAAGACAGGTTATGTAGAGCTGGAAGATGTCTCATTTTAATCAGAATTTCACCCGCTGCAAACAAGACTTATTAAGAAAGCTTTCGAAGATATTTTGGAGTTTCTGGAAAACTGGGTCTCTGAAGTCGTATTAGTCCTTCCCATTATATTCGTAACCAGCACCCTCGATTGCCTATTGTCCACCGAGTTTCAGTTCGAAAGGATTTTTAAGTTGGGGACCTTACTTCGTTAGTTTAAAGGTCACTTGTTGAAATTCAGTAGAACATAAACAAAATTTAATCGCTAAGCATACTGAAAGAAAGAAAGTCATTGAACTTTTTGCATTTGGATATAATAAGCATATCATTTTGTTTCAAAACAGAAAAGATGCCAATCCAAAATGTTTAATTTCGGAAGAGTTATGAGGATTGTACGCAATGATGTGAAACTACTCTCTGAAATTATGAGTTTCTGGTATAACGAGCAAAACTAAAAAGCTTTTTTCAACAGCTCAACAGACCAATTAATGAAACCGTTTTCTCCGTTACAGATATGCGTAGTAGAGCGTCTCAATATTGTTCGTATAACGTTCCACGTTTGCATTTTGTAGCAAAATATTCAGTGTGCTTTTTATCGAGAATTTCCAGGCACATCTTTTGAAAAAAAGACTGGTTCGTGGGAATGAAAGAAAAAAAGCTATCAACAAAATACTGAATGCTATTTAGTCTGAATCACTGGTTACAATGTGATATAAAATAAATTGTTATTATAACACATAAGTGTCTAATTAACCAGAACCCGTCATGTCTATAGATGAAGGACTGTATGAACTATAAAGAGGTAACAAGCCCT